GTGCATTTACTGTACTAACAGTTGTAATCTGAGCATCTTTACCCCCCCTCGTCCCCTTGTGGCGAGGTATTTTCATTGGGGTATCGGTGTAGCATTCGATGATGTGACATTCTACATCCTTCTACACCACATTTTTTCGCTTTGCACTCTAACCTCCTATGGTTAGGTGACAAACATTGGAAACATACTTTGGCCTTTTTGACGGCTTCCCATTTCTCGCGAATATTCATGTCCTTAAACTTGTAACAACTCACTATAGAGTGCTCCTTGTTGCATATAACACACTTATGTGTTACCCGACTTACAGGCTTGTCCTGGGTTATCATAACCACTTGTCGGTTGTGCCTTTTATTATTTCGGCGTTCTAAACGCTCGCTCATATTACTTCGGCGCATATAGCGCTCGCTCTCGGCACAGCTGCGTACACCTCCCTTTGCAGTGTGTACAGTTTGCTTCCTGAATTCAGGACGCTTCCTTTTTTTCAGGCGCATTTTCATTGCTTAAGGACGTTCCAAATTGTTCACTCAATAAATTTAAAAACTTGGCCATCTTCTGTAACTCTGGCTCCAAAGGATATTGAGCTCGATATTCAAACCATTTAAATTTAATCATAGTTCCAAGTTTCTCCACTATGCGGCTCACTAACTCCGGTGAGTATAAATACTGTGGTTGATTCAACGCTTGTATTGTGGCAACCACGTTCGTAATACGACTTGCAAAAGATCCTATATTTCGGCAATCTTCTGCCAATCTTGGCATACGCTTTACATTCTCGATTTCGGCTAGAATGAGCATCTCAACCCTACCGAATCTTCTTTCGAGAGCGTTCATTATTTCTTCAGGTTCACATAAAGTAAATAACAGCGACTTAACCGCCTCTTTAGCGGTGCCCTTTAATGCCCTCCTAAGGCGTGCGACATTTTGCACCCCTGAAAATTGGCCTTTTGTGTCTTCAAACACCGTTTTGAAAATTATCCATTCACCCGGGTCTCCATCGAACACCGGTAATTCCTGGAGGAAATGAAGCTGGGAAGATTTATCTTTACCAGCTATCTTTATTGCACTCACAATCGCTTCGGTCAATTCTGACACCTCACTCGCGTGTGTTTTTCTGTGCATTTCCTAGGTTGCGCTCGACCTCCGCCCCTTTGCGGCGTGATCCTTTACACGCTTCCTTATCAGTAATATCGGGTTGTGCTACACTAACCGGCGCGCTCATTATGGTTTGCTGAACCCAACTCCTTACGAAAGGTTCCACCTGAGTATTCCGCTCTTCATCATCCTCACTCGAGTCGATTTCCTCTTCTCGGTTGAGTCGTGCCAACTCCAATTGAGACTTGGCTAAGGCAGCAGCTGCCTGTGCTCGTTCGAGCTCTGAGCGTTCGAATTTAATCCGCGCCTCTAATTCGGCTTTCAGCCTCGCCGATCGCGATGACCTACTACCTCTCTGTGACCCTTTATCACTAGTGTGCCCGATTACTGTCCTTGACGATGCCGCTTCTTCGGTCCTTTGACCTACTTTTTTCGACCACCGTTTCACTCCTGGATATAACGGATTGTTGTGCGGTGCTGGCCTGTGTACCACTGGTGTCCGTCCTGTTGCTCGTCGTTGCCATGGACGTCCCTGAGTCCCACGTGCATGTGGACGTGTCTGTGGTGGCTCCACTTGGAGGAGTTGCTCCATTTGACGCAGTAGCTGTGGTCGCTCCAGATGATTCCGCTTCTTTAGCTTTTCTTGAGAGCCCTGTCCTTGTCCTGCTCCCTTCGCTTCTCCCTGTCTGGTCTTGTGCCTTCTTCATCTTGCAGGAAGGTGATTGTTGGCCTACGGTCCCTAACTGTCCCTACAGTCCCTACAACCCCTTCTACACCCCAACCTAACACCACTACCCCTCCCCCCTTTATCTCCCAACCCTACAACCCTACTACCACCCTAACAGCCCTATCAGCCCTATCAATCCTGAACGGGGCCTACCGAGGTGAGCCGTTCAGGGATGGAGTCGTGCAGGAATGGAATGGAGGAAAGGTTTAGGAACTGTCCCGCCAAGGAATATGACGAAACAGTCGAGCGGTAGTGCAAGCGCAGTCTCGCTCGAGAGAACTGCTCCACCCGAAGGTGTTATGCCAGAGCCCAACCGTTTGGCACCGTTAGGTGGTCGGGATGTATGCTGTGCTCGCCGCCCAGTTGCCGGTGACGCCTCGTCCAAGCGCCCTCCTCCGGCCGCGATGCAGTCAGGTGCCCACGCGCACCCTCGCCCGTCAGCAGCAGCGGTGGATGCTTTTTGCACCCTGATGACCCGACGGGAAATGCCGGACACGGTCGTCCGACAGGAAATGCCAGACACGATCGTCTGACGGGAAATGCCGAGCACGCTTGCCCGACAGGAAAAATGCCAAGCCCTGCTTGGCCACGATGAGTGCCTTCACAAGACACCTGCGCCCGGCTGCGATATGTGCCCCATGCGAGCACACGCCCCAAGCTGCAATCCCGGTTTTCTTTCTTCCGGTAGTTCCAGGTCCAGCCCTTCAGTGCTGCCGTCCTGGTCTTCAGGCCTTTGGTCCTATTGCTTCAGCTCAAACCTCTGGCTTCCTTCGGTTGCTGATCTTCACTCGGCTTCCGAAGGTCTTCTTCTTCCACAACCAGCAGTCCACAGCTGGTTCCTTGATCCAGCTGGCGGGGTTCGGGTGGTCTTCAATCCGGCTCGAAGGACCAATTGAAAAGGAACTCAGGTTCGGGGTCCCTCTTGATCCTGAAAAGGACCAATTGAAAAGGACCTAGCGGATCGGGTACTAAGAAACAGGAATCGAGGCTTCTCTCGATCCGGCCTCCTATCACGCCTACGTTGGGTTCGGGAACAACGTATGTGATCTCCGCAACGGAGTAACACACTAGGGCGATAACCTCTTCCTTTTCAGCAAGTAGGTTCAGACGGGGATTACGGGTCTTCCGAAGTCGTCCCGGTCCCGACGCCTTAATTCTTCGATGTGGACTGTATAACTTAAAGGATCTTGGGAATGAAACAGCAATTATCTTCAAACCGTTCCGTGAGAGAGTAATCACTTTTCCCTATACTTTTTCTTTCTTGACTGCTGGTTTTGCACTTTTCTTGAACTTTTTCTCGGATTTTCTTATTTATTTCCGAACTATTTCCGAACTTCCCCGAAGGATTCCCGAACGAATTGCAATAAAACCCGTTCACTAAGCTACCCCAGAGCTATACGCGAAAGTGAGCCGCGCCATTCGCGCGCTTGCGCAACTCAATTACATGAATTTGTTCTATTACTCTCTCACGTTTTACTCAATATCTTTATTTATTCAAATCATATACAAATACAATTTATCAATATAGGTAGTACAAAACAATATCTACACCATGATATACATCATATCTTCATATCATAAAAAACCTTTTATTTATTAAACGAAAACTGCCTATTTTACTCACAAGTTCGAAATCGAAATTTCTTAAATATTTAACACAGAAAGTTAAAACAATGTTTCTCACTTGAATTTATACATAAGCTAACCAATACAATAGTTTAATTTACATTTTTTTCTATTTATTTCACTATTTAAAACACTTTTAAATTTCTTATACAAAACTATCATTATTTCACTTATACACAGGAATTTTCACATAAAAATAACACAGAATTTACCTTTTTAGCACGTACAATTAACCTGAAATATTTTACAAGTAATTTTTACATAAATCACTGAATTACAAACATTTTAAATTTTTACATATTCGGCCTCCTAAGGGCGTGGCCTAGCGTGCGTCTATGAACTCACACTATTTGAACAACTAACTTTGCACGGCTCTCGGCTATCAGAAAAAATTAAATTATGAAATACACCAATTTTGACCATATTAGGCAAATTAAATGCTTTTATACAATTTTCGAACTGTATGAAACTATCTTTATCAGATAACAATATAAATGAATGTTCTCATTAATCAATCATAACAAATAGGCATTTGTTTTCGTACAAAACGTATCAAACTTATACAAAACAACATTTATGCAATTAATATCCATTAATTCTGCCTATGCACAGAGTGATTATCTCGACCGGGGAACAAATCCGGTCTTTAACTTCACTTTAATATTCTTATGAATTTACATCATTTGAAAGATGATTTCAACCGGGGAACAAATCCGGTAACATAATTTATATCTTAAATTCCTTACGAATTTATTAAGCGATATTACTTAGGAAAACAAACAAACTAGTCCGGCCTGGGAGTCGAACCCAAGACCTTCATATCATTAATTCGACATTTCTTAAAGATTTAACTAAGCATTCTCTTATCAGAGCGTCGTTGCTCGTGACTGCCCCTTTTTTCATAGCAACGTCATCGGTTAATTTAATAAACTGAAACATTTTTATAGGCGCGTCGCCAACAGATACTTATTTCATTAGGTTTGTCATATTTATGCCTGTTTCTTAACGCCAACCTAGTCGCTTCTTATTTTTATTACGGTTATTTCCCATTTTAATTTTACGTCGTCCTGTTTCGTAATGTGTATTCTGATCGTAAGCGACACAACCTCCCCCTTCAAAGGCCGAAGCGAAACTGACCGGGCGGCAGGAATCAAGCTTCAAGAAGCCGATAGTTTAGGTAATTTCTTTTTACAGTGAAAATAATGGTATTTAAAAAAAAAGTAAATAACCTAAGCACTGTTTTATAGTTAGTTCAGTTAGTATGCAAAGTTTCATGATCTTATTTAAAGTATTTTATGAATAACAGCGGTTTATTGTTTATTTTGGAGGTAACTTTGGATTTTTTTCTATAGAGAAATTTTTACGGAATCGTGTTTTCGTCTAACATAGTCCTTAACATTATTCCTCAACTTTACCATATATTTATTTCAAAATTAATGCTGCCATATTTTCGGCATAACGGAGGATCTTGCTAAGCCATTTGAGGTTATATTTCCCCTTAACTAGTCCAGTCCATAAAATACCATGGCTCTTCTGTTATCCATCTCAATTTACAATGTCTATGTCTCGTATTGATCTCAATTATTATTTATTACTAGATACGCAGTCAAGGTACCAAGTTTCGAGCATGGACGCGGCGGCGGGACTCGGTGCGAATGGGGCGTTGTTGAGAATTGAGCCCGTTAAAGCGCAGCGAGATGAAGCCACCTACGAGTGCATGGCTGAAAACGGAGTTGGAGACGCCGTCACCGCTGTCGCGACCCTCACCGTGTTCGAAGGTAAGTTTAATAGCTCTAAGTTTATTAAATTTTGCAAATACAGAAATGTCTTTACATGACTCTGAAACTGAATTTGATATCCTGCAGACTACAACCATTTTCCCATAAAAATAAAATGTTACAATAAACATTTTGCGACGTCGTTTATGGTACGGAAGGCAGGAAGGTATGCTCCTACCTTCCGTTTCAAGGCATAAATGAAAGAAGGAGAATTATTAAGCATCTGCTTATGACAGCGTTACAGAAATCAATTAACTATGTTTTATCTTATCGAGCTTATGACCCATCGAAGTCTGGAAAAAATCATCATACCTAGTTTAAAACTAAATTGTCTAGTTGTTGTGGCAAATTGTCGATGGAATTATTAAGCGTCTACTTATGTCACCAATCACCATTACATACATTCATAAAATTATTTACTATGTATTATCTAATCAAGCTTATGGCTTATCGAAGTATGCAAAATAATCATCATACATAATTTAAAACTAAATTGACTCGTAATAGTAGTTGTTACGATTCGCCCATTTAGGAGGCAAATGTCCTTATACCATACTGCCTAGTCTGATGTGTATTTCATTTACAAAACTCTTTCAGTATACTATTGCGTTGTTTTAGGATTCCCTCTATGCTAGTAATTACTCTATATAAGCCTAATTAAAAATTATATTACTAGTAGTAGTTGTAACGATTTGCCAACTAAGGCAGGCAAAGTTCTTATACCACACAGCCTAGTCAGATTTTTTTTAAGAATAGGGGTGACAAACGAGCATACAGTCCAACTGATGGTAAGTGGTCGCTGGGACCCATAAAAATCTATATCTGTCCTTGATTACGAATCAAAATGCAGATGCGTTGTTACCCTTGAGGACTAAGATGGAATGCCTCGTTTTCAGTAAAATGGGTTTCTGGTTCTCTACACTCACCATACGAAACACAGCAGCATTGAGCTGATATTTTAGGCTGGTATTCTGTGAGAGCGTGGTCCTACCCTGGTCGAGCCGACCCATTCGCTGCTACAACTATACTACTCATATAGCTGCACTCATAAACTGGGATATCTTTAATTCATAACATCCTGCAGTAGTATGATTAAAGATAAAATTGTTCTGGATTTCAAACTATATTTTACATATTTTTCATTTAAAAAATATGTCAACAAATTTGTTCGAAAGTTCGCCATTATCATTTTCCATAGGCGTGCGTATCGTCTTAGACTGTAAGGCTGCTTACCATCTGGTTAATTTCTTCTACTTTTACAAATATAAATATATACGACTGGAAAATTAAAATTATCAAACCGATGTTTCTACAAATGTTTTAATTTGGAAATTTATTTATGCGTTATTCACTAAAGCGCTTCTCCATTACTCATTAAAATTTCATAGCAGAAGCGCATTTCTATTAAGTTTTCAAAATTTCATAAAAGAAGTAGTTTTTGATTGACTATTCATGACTCAACACATAGTAAAAAGCCCTAAAAATCATCCATTTGAATTCAGTATCCTTTAAGTGTCCCTTGGACTCGTTTATCCCCCAAAAAATATTAAAATTACGGACACAACTATTGTACCAATTTATTGTAATGTGATAAGGCAAACAGCTTATCGTTAACTTGGGTACAATAAGCCGCGGATATATTAAATAAGGATACTAATATTTCAGATAGGATTTTTTTCATCATGCGGAAACAAATAAGTTAGCCTCAAAGAGTAATAAGGACATAGAAAATCCGCAAGGTATCATTTTCGCGGATCAGAATCTACAATAACTTTCCTCGGCTTTGTTTTTAAAAAGATGAAAAAGTATATACGAAAGCTTATTTTTCAAGGCAGTGCCCTGTATTAGCCGGCGGTACAGCGAAGTGGAACGAAAATATTACAAAGATCCGATAGAATTACGTGACGTCCATAATAGAAGAGAAGTTGTGAAGTTCGCTTCACTAACGCTTTATGGACTTCCAGTGTCGGTATTGTGCCCGCCGCTCATATCGATGTTTAACGTCGATAAGGCAATCGAAATGGGAATCTGCCGTGTAATATTATATCTTAAACCGTGTATAAGTAAGTTTCAAAGTAAATATATATTATATTTCATATTTTATTTATTTCGACAACTTCCAGTCTCCTGAACAAGCCGGTTTCCGAAAAGGTTTTAGTACCATAGACTTCATACACATTACACATCTTTCGTTAAATTGTACGTAAGACAACAGAAGAGTACAATCTAGCACTTTGCCTTGCGTATTTGGACTATGAGAAAGCCTTTGATTCCGTCGAAATTTGGGCCGTGCTTTAGTCCATTTAGTGAAGCCAAGTTTACTGTCGGTATATCGAAATGCTGAAGTGTTTGTTGGGCTACGATGGAATCCGAGTACAGAACCAGAGTACGAAACCCACGCATTTGGATTTTAGATGTTTTTGGATTCATTGTGGACTTTTGATTTGGACGTTATATCTCCAAAACTCTGCACCGTTGTATTGAAAGATGTTTTCAAGCTACTGGACGGGAAAGGATACGATATTAACATAAATTGCGAGTACATCACTCGTCTTCGATTTGTCGATGATATAGTTCTTATGACATAATCGCTGGTCTAAAAGAGGCCCTAAGCGCTAAGCTCAATGACTCAGTAGTACTTCCTATCGGATAGGTCTTAAGGTGTACATTGACAGAACAAAGGTCACGTGTAAGGTCCATGTCACACTATGCTTGAAGTTGTCAACGAGTATTGGGAAAAATACTCCGACTAGGTAAGTTCAACTTTAACTGAGAGGTCAATCAACGGTCAAAAAACACATTTTTTCGACAGGTATATCTCAAAACCTGAAAATATTGTACAACCAGTAAGTGTTGCCAATGATTACTTATGTATCTGAGACGTGGTCCTTCACTGCTGGCCGTATGAGAAAGCTCAAGCCCGCAAGCGAGCCTTGGAGAGAGTTCTGCTTGCAGTTAAATATAGCTAACCGACATAGCCCAACGGTTAATAAGATGAAGTGTCATTGATCCGACCATAAAGCTTGAAAAACTGACAACCGGTGGGTAAGAAAGATCCTCGAGTGGCAGCCTCGTACCGGTAGGTGACGTGAGGGCGGCCTCCCACTAGATGGAGAGGCAACCGGTTAAGACAAGCAGGAAATCGATGGATGCAGGAGGCTCAGGTCTGTACTTTGTCGCATTCCTTGGGAAGCCTATGTTCAGCAGTGGATTTGTGAAGCGCTGTAATGATGATGATGATTTTCTTTTATTAAATCCCATCGAAATTACGTAACTTTCTCCTAAACGGCTCGACAGATTTTCATGTTTTTTGTTATTTAGCATAAGGGTGACAAACGAACAGACAGTCCACCGTGGATGCTGTTTTGCCCATAGATATTTACATATATATATATATATATATATATATATATATATATATATATATATATATATCGCTGTGTAAGGGGTATATATATTATTATGAAAACTTTTTATTTGTACGATACGTAACGAGATGGAAACTAAAATATTGTTTGCGAGCGCTGTCTAACTGAAGCCCCTTATTATAACGGTAACTTTTGGAGTTATGAATTACGATGAAGTACTTATTCTTTTGTTTATTTTTTTATTGTTTTATTATTTTATTTCTATTACAGCCATCCAAAATCCAATGCTGAACATATGTGTCATAGTTGCCACGCTTGGTAAGCGGGTTGTTGCTTTTATTCATTTATTATGCTGCTGCTCTTTAAACGTGGTAGAAACATGCTGCAGCTATAATGTGGATGCAGCACGAATGGGTCGGCTCGACCGGGGAAGGACCACTCACAGAATACCAGCGTAAAATGGCAGCTAAATGCTGTTGTGTTACGTATGGTGAGTGTGGAGAACCGGAGACATTTTGTACATTATTATAAAAGAAATTCAGCAAGTAAATGTAATCCATTTTTTAGACATAATTCTAGATAAAAATTTAAATTGGAAAGATCATGTTATAAAATTAATAAATAAACTAGACATATTCGTTTTTCCTTTGCGATGTTTAAGATTTATAGCGTCTCAGGAAATAGCCCTTATTACCTATCATGGATATGTATCATCCCTCTTACGATATGGATTGATTGTTTGGGGAAATTCCGTTTATGCGGACAAAGCATTTAAAGTCCAAAAAAAATGTAGAAGAGCGTTATGTGGTGTCGAATTTTATGAAAATTGTACACCATTATTTAAAAACCTAAAAATTCTACCGTTGCCTTTTCTGTACATACTAGAAATAAGCATTTTTGTGAAAAAGCATCCAAACATATTTCAATCACACAATGAAGTGTTGCGAAAAGAAGATAGCTGAATTATAGGTAAAATATATGTACCACAACAAAGGCCTAATATGTATAACAAAACTTGTTTTTGTATGGAAATTAAAATATTTAATAAGCTACCAGAAAATATAAAACTATTAAATATTAATAAATTTAAAAGAACTTTAACTCAATGGCTTCTTGACCGTAAAAGATTTTCTGACATGTAAATATGAGTAGGTACGAAAGTTACACTATATTTATATTGACACAATTAAGCTTTTTTTTCCTAAATCAATGAATTGTGAATAACTTTGCTTTGAACAAGTTACCATAGAGATGGAAATATTATTTATTTAAAAAAAACGCATGTTAGTCATAAAAATGTCAATGTTTTACTAATTTCAAATGTATGTAATTACTATTCGGAATAATTGAAGCCTTAGTATTAAGTTATATTTCACAATTTATTAATTATGTGCTGTAATTATTGTTATTAGATTGACATAATATTGTTATATAGACATCTTATTGCTGACGTTGTAAAAAACTAACAATTGATAATTGATAATCGTGCTGTTACTACGCCGATACCGGTAAGACATGTAAATGATCCTAAAAGTTATAATGCAACAACTTATTGTACCATGTCTCTGAAATAAACAAATAAATACTAAATAAATACTGGAAAAGAGGCATTTCATCTTAGTCCTCATGGGC